ACTTTTCATTTCGACTTTGACCTCCAAAGTCGAAACATTTCGACTTTTTGGGTTTTCATTTCGACTTCATGTATATAGTTGATAATAAGTATCAACCTTGTATAGGCGAGACAGTTAAGTTTATTTATGATCTGAATAGTGGAGCTAAAGTCATGCGAATAGAATATAATCTTTTGAAATAGGGCAAACACATAGCATTCGTATCTACTGAAGCAGTGATGGCTAGAGCATTAGTGAAAAAAGCATCTAAATTATCTAAACCTGATAATTCGCCTATTAGAACACATGCATACTATGAAGATATGGATAGGAAGCAGAGACAAAAAAACTTCTCTGATATTAATATTGCTTGGATGAGCTTGACTGCATAGCTTATACAAATACTGTAGAGGCTGAAATATCATTCGAAGTTACAGGCCACTTCAATATAGTTATAGCTATTACAAATATTGCTACTCCCGTTCATGTTGAGGCTCTTGCACAAATGCTTTATCAAATTCGTGATTGTTCTCATCATATTATTTCTGTATTCTATCAGAAAAATTCTAATGAACTTTTTCGACCACCAGGTCATAAAAATGTTTGAGCAGAACTTGAAAGTGCTCGACCTAATAATTTACCTACAGCAATAAAAGGACATTATGAATGGGATAGCAATGCTTTTCTTATAAGATTGATCAATCCCAGCTATAATAGCATTTATTGAAGTTGAGCATCAGAAACATCTTTCTGCAAAATATTTTATAGAGAAGTTTTGTAGTCTTATAGCCAATACTGGTGCTTCTCTCCAACTTATAAAATGGATAAGAGCTGAAGAATTATAGGAAATCGTAAAAAGATTCGTAATGAAGTTAAGGTTGAAGCATTAGTTGTCAAAGAAACAGATTTCAATGCAGTTGCTATTTTCTGGAACCTTATTCTTAAAGAAGCAGAAAGCCTTAAGTTTGATCAAGAATGCTCTATCACAGATATCACAGATACTATGATACTTAAACGATTCTACATGCAAAATATTTATAGCTGTAAAGATATGAGTAATGATAACTGGAATAATCTTTGCAAAAAGAAGTTTGTAGAACGTTTTAGCTCACCTAAACCTTGAAAATATTTTCTGCGCTTATTTCATCTTCAGAGACAAGGATGCAATGAAGATAGTGCAATAGAAGGTTTAGTTGTTAAAGACTTTGCACAGTATGAGGATACCTATTTTAAAGCTGAAAATAATTTTGAAAAATCTGTAGCAGAAGACTTGCAAAAATATTATTCAGAAAATCATTGGAAGGTTATAAGGGAACTCTTTCAAGTATTAGGCTTTACTGATATTGATGACAGGCGTATTCTTTCTGGTGATACTGTATCAGAATCATTTATATGGTCTTGTGAAAGTTTTATAGAAATACAAAACCAATCTTTATTACTCTTTAGTTTTAAGTCTTGTGCAAAGAAAATACCAGATCTTAAATCAGCTATAAAAGTAATTAATGCAATTGCTGATAATTAGTGTGGCTATACTGTTAAAAGCAATTAGAAAAAATAGGTCTTAAGGAATAGCAGGTTTGGGAATATTCATACAAAATTAATCGCCAGTCATATAACAGTACTGGTTTTGGAGACAAAGGTGCTCTAGAGCTTTTACCATATAAGCTAAAAACAGATAATGAGATTCAGGAACTCTTTGATTCTATAGGGCAGGAAAAATAATACTTCAGCCTAATATTCAGCATTTCAGCTAGATGTTTCGACCTATATCTGATTCCATTTTATTTTTTTTTATCTTTACGCTAGGAATTCTTATAAATTTCACTATGTGTGTTACAAATTCCAGTATCAGAATAGGTTTTCTCATTACAGACATGATATATATTTTTTAGGATGGGTTTTATAATATCTGGCTCATCCTGAAGCACGCCAGCATCCTTTTCCACAAATTGAACTATTTTTCTTGATGTATTCACAGAATAGATGATCCATACGAGGTAATTTTGATATTAATAATCCTAAAACTTCATCTTCACTTTATTATAGATATTCAAAATTGCTTTGCTTTAGTGTCATCAAGGATTAAGAAATTTTTTCGAATTGAAAAATAAATAGATTAGTATAACTAGGTAGCACTTATAATCATGTTATTATTGATATGACTACTGCAAAATCTGCTTCAAAAACACAAAAATCCAAAACTAATAACTATGTTAGCATCTTGGATCAGTTACTAGAAAAGTATAATTTTCAGCTGACTCTACTCTAGAACAATTAAGTGAACATACTCCTGAACTAGATGTTTTACTTTCTGATTGGATGGCCCGCAGGTGTGTTAAAGTTGCTCTTGCCAAATGCTCATTTAATAAAGTGCAGATAGAGGCTCTCATGTCAGATAAGAGAAAGGGAAAACCCACCATAGAGGAAAAGACAAAATACTGCACTAAAACTGGTGATTTTATAGACATTATCACTAATTATTGGAAATTAGGTTCAAAAAGTAATGATGAAAATGAAATCGTTGCTAGTGTCACATGTCAGTCAATATTCTGTAAAGTTAGCAGAAAGCGGTGTAGATTCTGCAATTATTAATACCTTTACTAAAGATCAAGAATGTATTCAAGAGTCTAATAAAATTTAGAAAAAACAAACTAAGAAACAAATAGCTAAACCGGATAGAATTCCCATACATTACTTCTTAGTAAGGGTATCTAAAAGGCTTTAAAATATTGATACTTTTAAAACTCCTACTAAAGAGGATCTTGCAGATGTAATTATAATATTTAGATCAAGTATTGTTAAAAAAATAATATATAACGAGATGCAGAATACTAACAAATTTTATCACGTAAAATGTGTTATGTGATCATAATTTATTAATTTGTTTAATGATTAATGTATTATAATAATTTTGAAATTTAATTAACTTTTTATAGTAATAGATTTCTTAAACAGACATTCTTTCTTTAAGTCAAGAAAAATAATATGAAATATCATTTTGAAAATCATTAAATGATAAACAAACTATCTTCAGAATACAAGCAAATATATAAACTGAACCTTTATTTAGAAATTACTTATTTAATAATGATAATTAATCATTTTATATATTTTTTATATTTTTTTTTAATTAATTGATGATAAAATGAATGGTAACCAATATTTATTATAATTTGAAAAAAATACAAAAAAAAAAATATAAAAAAATTAAAACCAAAATTTATAAAAAATAAAAATAAATTATGTTTTTACTCTCTTTTTTTCCCTTTCAATTGCCTTGCTGTTTTTTCAGTTAATGAAATTGCAGCTGTATATCTGACCCTACCACCACTTAAATCCAATTTAGCCGTTCCATGAATGGTTTGGGTTAACTAATACCAAATTGAATTTGAACTCATCTCAATTGCTATTCCAAATTCAGAATAAAAGAAGTGACCTTCTTTTACTTCACCAATTTCATATACATATTCCAATGCCTAATCTGTCTTATTATTATCAGAATGACCAATAGCTTCATAATTCACAACACAAAACAATGTGTCTATAATTTGTTTTTCATCTAAATTAACAGAGTTTTTAAATTCCTCATAGGAATTTGTTATCCAAGGCATGTCTGTTTTAGCATTGTTATAAATTTACTTCGCAACCGTATTTTCATCTTTGTCTAATATCCATTATTCATCCAGACTAGGTTTCTTCCTAGCAACCTTTTGTAAGCGTACGAACCTAAAAAAGAACCTAAAGGATCTTTTCGAAGACCATGACCAACCAACTTCCCAGAACTTCCATGTTTTTTTCCATGAATAATGTTATAGTGGTTATCCACTGTTGACTTGATCTTATTTCCCAAAAAATTTGAAACCTTTATTAAGGCTACATCTCTTACTACCCCACCCACAACCC